CATCTCAGATTTCTGATCAGCCCAAGGATTTTGGCAATGTCTGTAGCTGAGTCCAAGCGGATGGGAGGGACACAGGGGGGCTGTTCCCTCTACTCCCTACAACCTGTGTTTGACCAGTGTCTTGTCCCAACACACCTCCTGGCAAAGGCCAAGTCCCATGGCCAGAGAGCTGACCCACAGCCAGGCCAGCAGTTCCACTCCACAGCAATGTCCATGTGCTAACGGGTGTATTTCAGCTAGGGTCTACATCAGTGCTTTCTTCTACCCTAAATGCCAGTGAAAACTCAACCTCGATATCCCACAAGATCTTTCTCAGTATCACTGATGAGCCCACTACCTACAAAATTTTCTATCTTTCCAGCAATGGGAGTGAACATTTCCAGTGGAATATTTGGGTGATGAGCCCACTACCTACAAAATTTTCTATCTTTCCAGCAATGGGAGTGAACATTTCCAGTGGAATATTTGGGGAGGGGAGGAGGGGGGCTGAGCGAGGGGAAGATGCTTTCACTGTGAATCACTACTAAGAAACCACCCCAAACTTTAGCCAGCAGTACTCCTCTGATGCACCATTAATTGTCCTGGCTTCAGTATGATTAGCAGCTTGCTAACCCCTCAAAACCAGAGCATCCCTTTGGGCGGGTGCATTTTTATTCCCTTGGTGCTTTGGGAAGTGGGTTGAGGAACAGCTGCTGGGATATTTGTCATCCCACTACGAGGACAGGCATCAGGACAGAAGCTGTTGGCCTGGAGTCAGGGGTCGGCACTGGCACGGTGAGGATGGGACACAGACAACAGAAGTGTCCCAGCCTCTGCAGAAGCTGAAGCTGACCTCTCCTTGCTCTCTCCTTCCACTGCAGTACTATCTCTCTGATGCTGATTTCCACGACATCTTTGGGAAGTCCAAGGATGAGTTCTACCAGATGCCCAAATGGAAGCAGCAGAATGAGAAGAAGCAGTGTGGACTCTTCTGAGACCGCAGGGGCCATCTGGCATCCAGTGACTCTGGGACCAACCCTCGCTCTCTTAGGAGCTGCAGGGAAGAAGTACAGACATTTGCTCGATGAACCCAACCCAACATCTCAATCAGGCCAAGCCCCAGTGCCATGATTCCAGCAGCCACTGTTAGGAGGATGGCTCCTTTCTCCCTGCCAAACCCTGAACCTAAGGAGGGAAAACCTTTCGCAGGAACAACTTTGCGGGATGTTTTTGCCTCTTTTTGACACTTTATTGCTGATAGCCATGAAGACAAGTGTGTGTGTGTCACACAACCATATTGTAGCCTCTTCTTTCCTCTCCCTTTTGCAAATTGCCACGTGCACAAGGTTGTGATCTTTCCTCATTTGTAGAAGTTTATAATTAGGCAAAACAAGGGCTACTTGCAGCTGCTATGTAAATTCTAGGGGGGGGGGGGGGGGGGGGGTGGGGGCGTCGCTGTGTTTTTTTTTTTTTTTTTTTTTTTTAGGACAGAGAGGGAGCCTTGAGGTCAGGAAAAAGGTATTGGAGTAGCCAGAGGTGTGACAGGGTAGCCCATGGGGTGACACCAGCCAGTTCTGCCTCTTCTCACCTTGCAGAAAAACTACTTGCCAAAGCTCAGCAAGAATCAGTTGTGGACTAACATGCATAGTCTTGTGTAGGTAAAATAAATGAGAACCTGGCTTGGAAAAAAACCATTTATTAAGACCATATTTATTAGCTGATCTATTTCAAGGGGATGATGAGGCTAGGGGCTAGACACAGCTGTTGATTTTGACTGCCAGACAAGACTCAGACTATTTTTTTCTCATTCAGACAACATCTCCAATCTCACCCGGCCTCTCTGAGCACACCAGGGTGCAGGTGATGGCAAGAGTCCACCAGCCTGCAGACCAGAGGCTTGAGGAAGGCAGGAGGGTTTTAGGTGTGACCTGAGGCAGAGTGTGTCCCCCCTGAAGGTTTTGTCAGGGCTCCAGCTCTGTGATGTCCATGGGGCTTAGAGTGTCTGTTCTGCACTGCGAGCTCTGTCTGTTCAGGGAGGACAGGGGGAAATGTGTGCCATCAGTGAGTAAGGGATACAGCTGTAAATGAAAGGAAGAAACACATATGTTTATAAACCCAGAAGATGTGGTTTTGCAGCTTTACTCCATTTCCAACCTGATCGACGATTCCAAATAAACAGCCAGCAGCAGCACTGTGACTGTCCTTGATCAGCATAACATTAGAGAAAAGCCCTGCAGGGCCATGTATCTTTCAAACACCTGGTCCTTAATAGGATTTGGGATTTTTTTAGAGAAAAGAACAAACTGAGGTGGTGAGACCCCCTCTGTTCCAAACACCACACACCCAGGACCATTTGTGTCCCCATGCCCATGTACCCTGCTCCTGAAGCCTCCCATTGCCCTTGAACAGGGGCACTTGGCCATTCAGCAGTTGGCCCGACTGGCCACCCCTGCAGCAGGGATGTGGGGATGCAGCTGAGGAGCTGCAGGTGGCTGTTGGTTGACGAGTAGAGCTCTCATGAAATACCTGGGACCATGCTGTAGTGGTGAAGTGTCACGGTGTGGCTGGGCTGGGACCTCCAGGCAATGGGGCTCTTCTGGACAGATCTTTGTGTTTAAGAATTGGTAGTTACTTCAAATAAGCCACAACCCCATCATTACCTTCATGCTTCTGCCACCACTTCATCCCAACTCTGCTTGAGGGCCAAAACCCATTGAAACACACCCCCCCCCCACCTTGCAGAATAAGGTAAGAGTCAAGCAGAAACACAAATCAGCCGAATTACCTGCGTGATTGCTCCTGTTGTGTTCATACTAGATACAATCAGTGCATATTATCCCTGTTTCAGGCTCTATTGCTGCTGCTGGAAGCAACAATATTTGCATCGCCCCGCTGCGGCATGCTCCTGCCAGCTCCCAAATTAACAAATTGCATGTGCTCCTCTATAAAATGCAGCAATGCCATGGCAGGGGGGTTGGAACTAGATGATCTCTAAGGTCCTTTCCAACCCGAACCGTTCTATGATTCTATGTCTCTGTAACGTCGCCTGTCAGCCCTGACTGTTGGACTAGCAAACATGCAATCAAATGGAGACCAGCGGAAATAAAGTCTGATTAGGGAGATTAGACCAGTTTGCTACAAATTGTTTTAATTCCT